AAAATGGCTAATTTACCCCCTGCTCGTGTTCAAGAAGCAAAAGCATTTACACATACTGGTGTAGATTATGCTGGTCCAATAAATATTACTATGACTAGAAGGCGAGGTATTAAAAGTCAACAAGCTTATATCTGTTTATTTATTTGTTTTTCAACTAAAGCAATACATATCGAATTAGCTTCAGATCTTAGTTCTGATATATTTTTAGAAGCTTTTAAACGATTTATTGCAAGAAGGGGTCCTGTTTCATGTTTATATTCAGATAATGCGACAAATTTTATAGGAGCTAAGAGACGTTTGAATGAAATTTATAATTTTTTATATGCAAATGAAACTAAACAATCCTTTCAAAAAGAATTTAATATTAGAAAAATAGAGTGGAAAATGATTCCTCCTTCGGCACCTCATTTTGGAGGTATTTGGGAGGCAAATTTAAAGAGTGTTAAAACGCATTTATATAAAGTTATTGGTAAACAGTTATTATCTTATGAAGAGTTAAATACAATATTAATTCAGATAGAATGTTTATTAAATTCTAGACCACTTTGTTTATTAACTGAGGAACCTCATCCAGAGATTCTTACACCTGCGCATTTTTTTATGTCAACGCCCCTTCAGTTTTTACCATTTCTGTCAAATTCTAATCAAACCTTAAAGGGGAGGAAAAAGTTATTAGATAATTTAAATAGATCTTATTGAAAAAAATGGCATTTGGAATATTTACATACGTTACAATTAATTAATTAAGACAAAAATGGAATACATCTAATAATCCCATAAATATAGGAACAATTGTTTTGATAAAACAGGATGATGTGCCTCCACTTTATTGGCCATTGGGAGTTATAGAACAAGTTTATCCTGGAAAGGATGGGGTTATTAGGGTAGCATTAGTACGTTCCCAAAATGGGATTTTTAAGCGACCGGTGGTGAAGCTTTGCCCTATTCCAACACAGTGAGTCTTGAATATTTAATTTTAAAATTAAATTTTATTATATTTATTTTATTCAAATATTAATTTAAAATATTTTTGAAATTTACATTTCAAAGCCGGGGAGCATGTTTGCGCCACAGGTTAGTTTGAGTATGTAGATTTTTTTGATTTGTTTGCAAGTCTATTTGTTAATATAAATTTAGTCGGCTATGGTTGCTATATACATATATATAAAAAATAATAATAAAAAGTCATAAAAATATATGCATCAAAAATAATAACATAAAAAAATATAATAAAAAATCTAATAAAATATAATAATAATAATTTATTATATTTATATAATTCAATATAATTTTAATAATAAATTATATATATATATATATATATATATATATATATATGATATAAAATAAAACTTAACATAAATAATAAAGTTAAAGAAGCATAAAAAATAAAGAGATAAGATATAGATAACAAAGAAGACAAGAAATAAAAGAAAATAAAGAAGTTAGAAAAAAGGAGCAAAATAAAGAAATTAGATAAAGGAGCAGAAGAAGGAAATTAGAAGAAAGAAAATAATAAATTATATCTGACAATTATTGTAAATATTGGCAAATAAAACGACTTGTAAGTATAATCTTTGAAGCTATTTATTTAAAACTCACCTGTGGTGTAAATACACACCAGTACCCAATGCACGTTTATCTTGATATTTTTTTACCAACGAATTCCAAATTGTTTAATAATTTTCCTCATTAGGAAGAATTCCCGATAAAACAGTAAGTGACCTGCCACTTAACTTTCCCACAAGATATTGAACTTTTTGCGAATCATTTAAATTTGAATTTAAATGAATATTAGATTTAAATGCCTCAAAAAACAAAGGCCAATTTTCAGGATTCCCATCAAATTTAGTTAATTCAATTGGGGGTAATTTAATGTTAAAACAGGGCTCTTTTCCTGAAGAATTTTGGGTTTGTGGCAAAACCCTGCGACCCTCCAACACAGTATTTCTTACTTTTTTAATTTGGCTATATAAATTTACAAAACTCGACCATTTTTCAAAACTAGGAATATATTCTGAATTTATATCCAATTCTAAATTATTAGCTTGATCTGTTAAATTATTATATTGATCATATAATGTATCTAAAATTGACGTATTTGACATAAATTCCTGTGTATTCCTAGTTTCTGCCTTTGAAACCTTTTTGGCATTGTCATTATAATTTAAAAATAAATTAAATATTGCGTCTCTTTTTGCATTTATAGCTAATAATGACATATTTGACATTTTATAATTAATTTAATTTAAATTCAATTTTTAACTAAATAAATAAAATTTTATTAGTGGACTGTATCAAAAATGGATTTCAAAGTCCGGTTCGTATGGGCCAAAATATGGTGTATCAAAGCACCACAGGTTAATAAAAGAAGAGATTGTACTTACAGTTATATATTCTTTATTTTGTTATCTATATAATATGTGTAATTTAATTTAAACTCATCTAAATAAATATCTTTAAAATCTTATTTCCTCCATATCCATGAATATCTTCTTATATTTTCTTAATTTATTATCTTTCTTCTTATTTCATTCTTCTTATTTTATTCGTGTATTTTTCTTATATTTTTTCTTGTATTTCTTTTCGTATAATTTTCTTTTATACTATCTGTATTTTGTTTATGTATGTTAATTTATATTTTATGATGTATATTAAATTATTTAAATTTTATGATTATGATTCTTTTTTTTATTATTATGTTATGTTATTTTTGTTATCTATTCATGGATAACTATTTTTTAATATATAAGTATCAAAGATATTATTGATAGTATTAAGTTGAGACTCTCAACTAACAATGACACAAAATAAAGGTTATGTAACCAAAGTCACATCGACAACTTAAACCAACCCATGGCGCAATACTTGGCGCCAACACACTGTATAAGTATAATGTGGTTTATTACGCTCTCACTGGTCCACACTGTATATTGTTTTTTAAGCGGTAATTAATATTTAGTTTATTTCTTTATCTCTGCTATGGAGTCTTTGGGTAAACGACTTCATTTTTGTACTGATGATTTATTTTCTAAATACGTGTAGGGTATAATTTCGGTTCAGTGATTGTAGATTTGTGTGTTTTGTTTGTACAATTTTGAAACAATCAGTACTAGGTCCATATTTCGTTTTGTGTCGGCTAAAATATAGTTTTAGGTTAGAATAATTTGTGTTAGGAATCCTAACTTAGTATAGACAAGGTGTCTTAGTAAATTAGGTTGTTTTATAATAATTAAGGTTGCTTACTTGTATTTTATGTTTTTATTGGTCTTAAGGGTTTGTTGTTAAAAACTATTAAAGCGGCAAGGTCACAAATTTCAGATTCGATGTCATGAACTGTCACCGTTCATTTGTGGGTTTGTTCCGCCATCTTCGTTTTGGGTTTTGGTGTTTTTTAATGGTTATCTAGTTTTTCTTCTTTTTTTGAGTGCTTTGGCCTTTTTGGCGTTATTTGGTTGAATTCACTATGCTATTTAAGTCTAGTACTATTACAGTAAATTGGTATTTAGTACAGTGGTAACATTGGGTCGCGGCGTCGGCGCACTCAGGGTTCTAGATTGTTCGAGCGGCTTCTAGACTTGAGTGGGGAGGTCGACGGCGTCTTTGCCAACGTGCTTTCAGAGAGACGATCTGTGAAGTCTGACGGAATTTGGAATAACTTATTCCGTACTATGAATACTGGTAGTTATCCTCTTTTTGGTTTTTTTTTTAAAGTAGCATGATAGTTGCAAAGTAACATAACGATGTTTGGACTGTTGATTCAGCCGCTGATGGTAATATTGTTAAGTATGTTTTATTGAGAAAACCGAATAAACTTCGGTTTTCCCACCGGGGCAAATTTTCCCACAAGTTTTTTGAATACACATTGTAGGACAGAAATTCTGTCACTGGTTGATTCTTCGTAGCTGTTGGTTTCCTGCATCGTGATATCTGCCTTCTTAGACACAAGGGTTGGCATAAACGCGAGTTCGAACCACTGAAAGCGGGGACCTATGGTTAACGGATTTCACCCATAGATAGACCCATGGACTACAACATCTAGCTTGAATTAAGCATGTCAGGATTTCTTTATGAATATGGACGATAGGAGTCAACAGGTTTTAATGAACATTTTTTTTTATGAGTAATAATTTTTTTACCACATCACTGCGAAGCAGTAAATTATGAAACATTAGTATATATTTATTTTAACGTGTAAACCAATAGCTATTCGGTATAAATTTTATTAATTTTGAAATAAGTATCATAGTAGTATATCACAGTATCATAGTAGTACATCACAGTCAAAATATAATGATAATAAATTAAAATATAAGTAAGTAACTAATTTTGTAGTTTAACTTTTAGTCCACAACCTTAGGTTATAATACTCTTAAAAGTTGTGGTGGCGCCCAGGCCATAATGTAAGTATGAGAAAGATAGACCTACAGACTTATGCTCCCAAACACGAGAGCTGCCGGAGCATATAACCCCAAGTTGGTTATACAATATTAGCTTTAAAATAAAAAAAACATATCTCAAGTACTTTCCGAGTTATAAACCCATTTCCGAAAAAGGTATACTTTCGTTCCACAGTGCGGCGTACATCCTTATGTTGTTGCCGGCTCTTATAAGGATGCAATTGCGCCCATAGATCGCACCTCCGCTTCTTACATCAATTAAGAGTGTCACACCGTTCTGATTGTTTTAAAACTATCGTTTTACTGATGGCAGAGACGTGGTCCATTGCTTGTTTAATTTCCTCAATATAGGTTTTTTTGGGGTAATATATTGGGTGGTATGATTAAAAAGAGTATTTGCTTTCACTTCAAGTAACAGCTTTTACTTCCTAGTATTTTTTTAAGTATATTCTTTTACATGAAGTAAATTCTCTATAGGAAGTATTAGGTTAGAAATCTAAAAACTAGAAGGTAGTAAATATAAGGACGCGTTTAACCTCAAATTGGTTCGATTGTTGTTTGTTCTGTGGTAGTTGGGGTCCTACTTTAAAATTAGTAATCATGAGTGACAGTGACGATAGTGTTGAACCAACTGCTGAGGATGCTAAAAGGTAAAGAACTTTAGATGGCATTTGTTATTTTGTTAGAGGATTTTAAAATACTTTTTGACAAGCGAAAAACTCCAGCAATCAGAAAAAGATAAAGCAGCTAAATCACTCGCTGAAGCGTATACCAAGAATACCAAAGAAGTAATTACTGTTAAACAGGTTATGAAAAAATTGAACAATATAAAAACCAAAGTAAAAGAAGCCACATACCTTAAAAAGATGGGTAATAAGAAAATTGTACTCACGGATTGGCAAAAGAAATGTAATGCTATTTGGAATACCGAGGAAGTTCAGGGAGCGAACCTGTGCTGAATAAAACACCAGGTAAGTTGTTTATACTTTATTTATTTATTTATCAATTTAGGTAGTCACAATAAATGATATAGGTGCAGTAACATCCGGCTCAGTGGCGGCTGGTGGATTTTGGGCACACCCATATCTCAGTTATTAGACATGGGACCCACATCAAATTTATATGAGTATATAATGACATTATATAGACAAGTTCTTTGCAAGTTTACGAAAAAAAGTTAGTTTTTAAGTGTGCCCCCCAGCCTCCTGCCCCCCTATTAAGATAATTCAAATTAATTCAAATTAAAGTACAAGAAGTATTACAGATTTTATACCATTTCTATTTTTTTTGGTATAAAACCTGTATTTCTTAAATTTTTTTAATAAAATTTGAAATTTGTCGATAAACTTCAGTGAATTAAATATTGTATTATATATAATATATAGTATATATTAATTTGAATTATCTTAATTTGGGGGGCAGGAGGCTGGGCACACTTAAAAACTAACTTTTTTCGCAAACTTAAATTCTGCTTGCGCAGAACTTGTCTATATAATAATAAAGTTATATAAATTTGATGTGGGTCCCATGTCTAATAACTGAGATATGGGTGTGCCCAAAATAGCCGGATTCCGGCAATTTAAACAGAGAAATCTTTAAAAATACGTTTATTATTGTTTGTATAATAATCAGATAAGTAGGTTCATCGCGTGGTAAAACTGACACTATTTGATGACCTACTTATTCAGCAATAATTTCATTCAGTAGCGTACAGAATAAAATATAATAAAAAACAAACGTTTTATGTAGTGCGCTACTGATGTATGTTTTTAATGTAGTTGTAAATTGTTTAAATTTGTTGGATATAAACTCTGCTTATTTTATCATTTAATAAGTCCTAGAAACTTATTCATGGTCCTTCTAACTATCATTTAATAAGTCCTAGAAACTTATTCATGGTCCTTCGAACTACGTGCTAACGCTGGGAGGTGAGCATCATCAAAGAAAAATCTTTGTACTCGCCAACGCGCTTAGCATAGCGAATTATCCAAAAAATCCTTACTCTGGGAGGACGTACAGATCCAGAAGCCCAGAAGATTGTAGAGCACGGTCCTGAACAGTAAATAATCCGGACCCTCTATTCGCCTCCACACAACCAAAAAATGCCAACGACCAAATGTCACTTCAAAAAATAAACGAAGTGGCACTCCACCAAGAAACATTGGGGAAAAAATTAAGCCAGATCCTATGAAATATGAAAAAGGATTCACCATCCCGAAAAACCGCAATCTATATTTAACAAAAAAGATTGGACTTGGACAACACATTCCAAGAAGCCATGACCATTGACGAACAAATGGAAAAAGAAACAAACCCATTCCATCCATATTTCCAACAAAAATATATGGAACAAATCTGAGAAATTTACGACGAAGCAGTTGCACACCTAGACAAATGCAACGAAAATCTGTGACAAGGGCCCGGCACCAATGCCACAACTAATAACGGAGAGGCAATCGAACAACTGACAAATACAGATCAAATTAAGCGCATTCGGCGCCAAAATGTTCGAATCCAGATGTTGGTCCATACACTCGAGGAAGCTGAACGAGATCTATCTGAACCACGTCCGAGCATCAGATATAAGTCGCTAATTCAAACGGCCACTACACAATGGACATCAGTGACGCAATTGCACGAAGAAATTGAAGCCGAAGCTACCAAAACAGGCCACCCCTACTTTCAAGAAAATGTTTTCTGGACGACCCAAGAACAATGCCGAAAAATGAGGAACAGACTAGAAGACAGAATTACTAGAAGCAGACAATCGAGTAAACGCAATGTGCCCCTACCGAAAACTCACCTTCCCCAATTTAGAGGAGGGTACGAAGAGTGGGTCACCTTCAACGATTTATTTCGTCAGGTGATTCACGAAAATACCAATTTAACTAACGTTGAACGAATGCAATATCTAAAAACGAATGTGAGAGAAGCCGCCAAAATAATCCAACATCTACAAATAACTGAAGCCAACTACCAAGCTGCTTGAAACCTTTTACAGAAAAGGTACCAGAACACTAGTTGACAAAATCATAGATTTGCCAATTGTTCAGAAAGAGTCAGCACATCAAATTCGACACACGACTTTATGACACAACTAATGAATGTCTCCAAGGCCTAGAAAACCTAGGAATCTATACTAAACAATGGGATTAAATCATTGGAAGAATGATAATAAGAAAATGGGACTTTGAGACGAATAGGATATTTGAACAATCCATCAGCAATCCCAACGAAGTGCCAAGTCTGTCCGAAATAATTACATGTAAAAAAAAAAGATTCCAATCGCTTGATACGGCAAAGTTTTATATAGAAAAGGAAAGTAGTAAAACTTCACATAATAAAAATCCGCGGCCATGGAACACACAATCTTGTATCATATGCAACCAACCACACGGCATTTTTAAATGTACTGCATTTATGGACAAAACCACCGAAGAAAGAATCAAAATAATACGTGAAAAGGGTCCCTGCACCAAGTGCATTGGACATTATAACAAGGAACAATGCTACACTCAGAAGAAGTGCTAAATCTGTGGCCAATCGCACCACCCATTATTACATTTTGAAAAGAAAGAAGAGAAAAACCCTCGGAAAACCAATTTACACACAGGCACTACCGAAAAACCAGACGACAGCTTGCGCTGCAAAGGGCTAGAAGATACAGTACTGTTAGGGACAGCACTCATTAAAGTTAAATCAGCATCTGGGACCATGGAATACCTTAGGGTTCTGATAGATTCCGGTTCACAGGCCGCTTTACTAACTTAAAGGGCCGCTCAATCATTGGGACTTTCCCGCCAGAAAACTACCACGGAGGTATCCGGTTTAGGCGATAACCAATTGATGGAATTCTAGGAGCCGAGGAAATAAGTCACATACTGGAAGGCGGGCTAAAACGGACTAAATCCGGACTCTTGGGCCAAGAAACCAAGATTGGATGTATATTGTCAGGTAACATAACGCCATCGCAAAAAGAAAAAACTAGAGTCATTAGCATGATCAGTAGAATAAAAAAAGACATGCAACTCACCAAATTTTGGGAAGTAGAAGAAGCAGCACCAGAAGCACTAGTCCTATCGCAAGAGAACCTACCCGAAAAACACTACGAGGAAACCACAACAAGGGAGTCCACCGGCAAATACACCGTAAGAATTCCCTTTAAAAAGAACGCTGTATCCCTCGGGAATTCTCGTCCAATGGCAATGGCAAGATATTTTCAGTTGGAAAAGAAATTAGGAAAAAACTGCAACAATAACCTGAAGACACAATACCATGCGTTCATGCAAGAATACTTAACACTTGGACACATGGAAAAGGTACCGCAAGAACAAACTGCCAAAGGGATATACTACATACCTCACCAACCAGTAATCAGAGAAGATAGCATCACCACTAAATTACGAGTAGTGTTTGACGCTTCAGCCAAATCAAACAATGGAATCAGCTTAAACGAAAACATTCATATAGGACCCAGACTTCAACTGGAATTATCAGATATACTTCTAAAATGGAGGAAACATGCCGTGGTCTTCTGCACCCATGTAGAAAAGATGTACCGACAAATCCAGTTGGCTACAGAAGATCGAGATTACCATCGAATCTTGTGGAGATTTAGCGATAAGATCCCGCTCGAAGAATATCGCCTCACAACGGTTACGTATGGCACTGCGTCCGCCCCCTACTTGGCCGTCAAAACGCTACTAAGACTTCATCATACAGGATTTCTATGTAGATGACCTGATGACTGGAGCCGAATCCATAATAAAATTCAAGCAATAGACAAGAAATCTTAGCCCACCTACCGGACGAATTAAGAGACCAGATCATTACAGAGATAAGTGAAGACAAAGCCAAGAAGGCACAGAATTTACCAAGCAAAAAGTTATCTCTGAAGTAGCAATATTTGATCCATAAGGATGGCTTGCACCAGTAGTAATATCAGCTAAAATACTCATCCAGGAACTATGGGCACAAGAAATAAAGTGGGATTACCCTCTTCCTGTGGACTTGCACAAGAATTGGTTGAGGTTGTACAATAATCTTGAAAAAGTGGAAGAAATAAGAGTGCCTCGCTGGATTCAGATAATGGAAACCTTGAATTACATGGATTCTGCGATGCTTCCGAAAAAGCGTATGGAGCAGTAATATATGCAAGAAGCATGAACTATCATGGAGATGTTACCATTGACCTTGTAACAGCAAAATCGAAGGTGGCACCCATAAAAACAAAAATCAGTTTACCACGGTTGGAGCTATGTGCTGCTGCGCTGCTGTCAAAGATAATGGACCGCACAAAACGGGCACTAGCAATCAGCAATGTAACAGAGTTTGCATGGTCAGACTCAATGTGTAACCGTCATTTTGACAGTAATCCATTGATTTTATTTTATTAGTTTTTGTACATCTATAACGGTATAGATGTAAACTGTAAAGTGGTTTATTTTTAGTTTGACTAATAGTAGAGACACTATGTATGTTCTACACCGGAAGTGACCCAGACGCTACGTGACGTAGGCGGTTCTCGATGGTGGCGCCCCTCCCTGGTGGGTGGTGGGGGGTGATCATATTAGCTATTGGTGGGCAGCCATTTGGGCAACGCCCTCAACTGATAAGCGTAAGTGAGCCTATTGGTGGGTTGTTGGCGGATGGCGGCTGGCGGATGGCGGCCATGTTTGATAGATATTAGCTATTGGTGTTGTGGTTTAAAGTGGGCGGGGCTTAGGTGTTTAGTTGGCATTACTGGAGATGCAAAAGATAAGCGATATGCATATTGGTTGTTTGTGGTTAGCGTATTAGTTTGGTATTACTGGAGATGTAAAAGATAAGCGATATGCATTTGCTGCAGTGGTTTGATATCCGGGGGAGATAAGGATTTATTATTATTTTGTTGTAAATTTTATTTTTGACGCCATTTTAGACGATCAGTCTCCCGTCCGACCTTATAATAACAACATTT